CAGCTGATGGTTTGCAGACGAGCACAAATCCATGGACCACCACTTCAAGTAGCACTGCCCTGGTCTGCCTTTTGAGATTCCAAATAAGGGGAAAGGACAGAATGGAGTATGAAAAAGGACATGCCTCTTCCTTAATTTGTGATGGATGTACAGAACCACCTTCTAGGTCTTGTCCCTATGTCTCACATTTTAGCTTCTAGCTCTTCTCTCGTTACTACTTTGGAACTGAAGAAACTACTTCTCTAGTCCAAAGTGTGTTTTAAAGTCTGGTCAATTTAAGCATAATAGGGAGGGCAGTAGGATGAGCATTCTAGCATTACTTGCTCCACTGCTTCCCTTCATCACTGTTTCAGTCATCTTGCAGCAAATGGAAGGCAAATGTATAAAGTGTGGAAGGTTGTTTATATGCAGACACATGAACATTTTAGAAGCCCCGAAAGAACAAGTAACTTCAAAGCTAGTGCACTCATCTGCACTGTCCACATCATGTGTTCACATTGCCTTAATTGTACCATTTGCTAGGGCTTCTGTGTGTGTTATTTCTGGTAGTACTCTCCCCAAATACTTCTTGCAACATATTCCTAACAACTCCTCCTTAGTGGAGATGGCACTCATCAGTCACTGATTCTCTTGAGTTTACCAGAATTCTGTAGCTAGTCAGCTTCTCGCTGCATGAAGACTAAAGTGTGTAGACAGGAGAAAGGTTTTTTAAAAAACCCAGCCAGGATACTACCATCATTATAGATTATGTGTGAACCAGGGACTTGCCAGATTAATAAGAGGTTTGCTTCTTTAGAAACTCATTTGAAAAGAACTACTACAGAAAGGAAGAATGGATGGATAGATTGGGTTAATAATTTTGACACGTTTAGGGAGAATGGAAAGTAACCCTCCTGCCAAAACTAGTTATGGGGAAAAAATTGGGATAATCTCTCTGGTTAGGATAAATTTTTTAATATTGCAGGAATGGGAGCTATGTTCTTGACTGATCTTGCAGGTGTTGAGTTGTATTCAACATAGAGCTAAGGTCAGCACAAGGATTTCACCCTGTGCAATGAAATGTTCTCCCCATCTTCCGCTTGCATGCCCTCTAAATCTGTTCTGGGGTTTCTTCTCTATCCTTCAGGGATTTTGGGATGGCATGGGGTGCATGTGGGGGAAAGAAACGAGGGGAAATCCCCTTGTGCTAGCACAAGATTTAGTTGAATACTGTCCACAGAGAAAAGAAATGAGGGTGGTCAGGGCAGGACTGCTTCTAAATGCTTTCTCCAGTGAACCACCAACATACCCTCCATTGCGTAGGAAATCGCTGATTATCCTGCCCCATTCACAGCTTTCCATTTCTTTCACACACACCCCACGGGCAATTTAATACTATCTCTTGATTTGAGAGATTGTGTCGCAATTCTGATCTTCTGGGGATTCAAAACTCTTTAATGTAGTTAGTTTTAAGATATAAAAGCTGCATAAAATACAAATAACCAGGATAATATTTGTTTCCACAGGGAATATTTGTTTGTAAGGAAAGACCATATTTCTAAGCCTTAAGATTAAAACCACTGTGAATTGTTAGCCACCTCCAGAATTATTACAAATATCACGAGTTTTAGAACATGTTCCCTAAAGCATACTTACATGAAATGATGTTCTACTTAAATCACTTGAACTGATTTCTAATTAAAGGTATTTAGGAAGGGAGTGCCTGCAAATTGCATTAACAGAGGCATAGAGAGTTTTGAAATGTCTAAGAACTATGACTTGACGGCCACAAGGTTTATGCAAATTTTATAAGCTTTGCTCATTATGAATAAAAATATGCAAATAACCTGTGGTCTACCTACTTATGCTACTTTTTCTGCTGTGACCTTCACAGCTGCCCAAGTTACTCAGTCCCCATTTATTATTTCTGCTAGAAATATATTGCTATAGACAACTTAATTAATCTTTTAAGAAGCCATCTGCTTACACCCCCCCCCCAAAAAAAAACCAGGAGTCCTTAATGGCACGAAGTGGTGACTGTAAAATGAAGTCATAAGACAAAAGATTCAAGCAATAGGTAGAGCATAGGAAGCCAGAGGAAAAAGGAAGCTAAAGAATCAGTTCTTGTTTTACACAAGCATCTTGCTTGGAGGGACCACAACTCAGGGACAAAACAGAAAGGATGGTTTTCATTTCACTCTTAAATAGTAAATAGGAACTAAGACTCCTACTCCTGAAAACTGGATTGGAACTACAAGATGGAGAAGGGAAACTTTAACCCTCGTGCAGGGGTCAGCAGCCTTTTTCAGCCGTGGGCCAGTCCACCGTCCCTCAGACCATGTGGTGGGCCAGACTATATTTTTTTTTGGGGGGGAGAACGAATTCCTTTGCCCCACAAATAACTCAGAGATGCATTTTAAATAAAAGGACACATTCTACTCATGTAAAAACATGCTGATTCCCGGACCGTCGGCGGGCCAGATTGAGAAGGCGAATGGGCTGCATCCGGGCCCCGGGTCTTAGGTTGCCTACCCTTGCCCTAGTCTCAACCTGGGTCCCATCCTCCTGTGGCTACCAGTAGTAGCTATGGGGCCTCTTATCTAGATCAGGGCCACAGCAGAGACAGTTCCCCTTCGCCCCCATGGGCCTGATCTGGAAGCCCCCACAGCTCCTATTTGTTTGAAAAATTACCTTCATTTTTGTTATGGCCCTCACTTTTAAGAACTAGCACTTCCTCGTCCATGGGGACAGCACTATCTGCAAGAGGCGCAAGAGAGTAAAACAGCATTCTGCACAACAACAGATATGTCATTGTGACAGGAAAATACAAGGTGTAAAAAATACCATGTAAGTTATCTCAGAAACTGCTTGAATCTTTTCAGTTTACTTTGTCTTGTCGTTTCCCCCCCTTCTAGGTATATACCTTCACAGTGCTGCAAAAATGCATTACAAACTGACTACAAAATAGCATTCCCCAGAGGAACCATAGTACTGGAATAGGAGGCAAACTACATTTCTGATCGTCTAGATGGCTGGTGGCGATATTTGGGGCACAAACTATTTTGCATTTCTTGATTACCATCCTCCTACTAGGGATCATCTTTAGAACCTTTAGGCAGCAAATCACTAAGCATCAATAGTCATCTTACAAGCATTTCATCATTTCAAAATTAAATATGCATATCCATTAGCTTCAAATAAAAATGAAAAATATATGCAGCCTGAATGCAAGACGGATGTGTTTCACTATACAAGGTGTACCCAGTAGAAGGGGCAGGGGGGAATGCTAGCAGTGCCGTTTTTGTCTCCAAAAAATTCCCACTAAAGCATCGCAGGCAATCATAACGATATAATGAACATAGCAATTTAAAAAAATGAATGCCATAAGAGAATGAAACAATGAAAAAATTAATTGTGCAGAGCTTCCATTAATCATCCAAACACGGGATGATAGTGACTGACAATTTTTCCTGACTTTTATAGAGATGTCAGTTTCAAAATGATGTATCCAGTCATGTTTTCAAAAGTTATCATTCCAAAGGTACACAGAGAGCACTACTGGGTCATTTAAATTACAACCAGAGCCCATAGTAGAATACCTTGATTCAGTCGCAGAGGACAAGCTTTGCATGACAAAAGCTAGAAGCTCGGCCTCTCCACTCAAATGATCTCACGTAGCAGTGGAAAAGACTGTTCCATGAGATCTTGGGAGAGCCAGTGCCAATCAGATTAGACATTACACTACTGGATTGATGGCTTGACAGTTGTCGCATTCCCTTGTAACACTAAGCCAAACCATGACTTACCACGAACATGCTAGCTCTCAGGGAGAACGCAACCCCTTTGATCATCCCTGATTATTTTAGCTCAGCACAACAATGAAGCCAAGGTTGGCTTAGTGTTATCATCCACACACTGACCTATGGTTATCTCCTCCTTAATCATGGTTCGTAGCCAAGGTTTGCTCTTGACTACATCACAGTTAAGGAGCGTAGAGTTTAAGCACAATCCCACCTTCAGATGACCTGTTAAGCCAAACTTTGGCACCACTGCTATACCAAACTGACTGAGCAGGAGCAAAGTGAATGCGAGCCATTGTTTGGTTTACTGTGTCACGCCAATGCAAAGCAGTTCATGCCAAACTTTAAAACAAGAGCAGAAACACTAAGGTGACTTGGGCCCCTACTGAAATAATCCTCTCAGTTCCTATGATTACTTTTTCACTAAGTGGTTAAACATCATTAAACCCCAAATATCTATATTTCCACTTCATTTTATAAAAGTCTTAAATCTTTCATTCATTACAATTTAGGAACAACTATCTATGCACCCTCTAGTTTACTATCCAAGAAGTATAAGAGATACTAAAGAATTATTGACAGAACAACAGAATTAGATTTGGGTAGCAAGATGAAAAATGGAAGCTCTGCCCATGTATTAATGCATGGCTGGTTAGTTAGATCAACAGTGGACACATTCCCAGTACCAAGAATGATATAAAAATAAAGTAAAATAAAATAGCAGAATACTATAAAACATGTAGCTTACTTTGTGCTTTTTCACAGAAGTTTATCTGAAAGCCTAAAGCAAAAAGATAAGTTCTAGTTCATTTTCTGGAAAATAGATATTTGCACAACCTTTAAAAATCACATTTCATGTTCATTTAAAAAAACACCCTCAAACACCAAGTAAAAGGTTAAATCACTGCCTGAGTTGCAAAGACAGTACTCCAATAACCTGTTTTCTTGTCAATATCTAATACCTTTTGGAAAAGTCAAAGTTGTACTATACAGTACTGTCCAAAACATCAGTAAAGCATCAGCAGGTGGCAGTCCAGATCAGGTCAGCTACAGAGGTTAAGTATTAGTTTGTTATTAACTTTAAACAAAATGTTAAGAACAAATGGTGATTTTGCTAGGAAGTTTCCCACATGTACTTTCCGAAGTTAAATAAGTACACGCATCATGAAGGCTTCCCAATATTAGATTTGTATTTCTGGGTATACTGTACATGTGCAGGTATCACTGTCTGTTTTCACCATTCACTGCAGAATTATATCTGACTTAGTTTTAGAGACAGACAGATGTTGTTTCTCCAGCTTGTCTAAATAATGCAGATAAACCCAATTTGCCTACTTTACTTTTTTGCATAATTTATGTCACTTTTGCTAGTTGTAAGGAGGAGCAAGTACATATCCAAGGTACTAATACTTCAATCCCTCCCCACTGAAAATCCTGTTGAGTCGTTCTCTGGTTTCTGAGGCTTCTCTTAAGCATTCTCTGAACATAAATAATAATCCTATTTTTAAATGACACATGAGAAATTCAGGTTGCTACATTTTGTGGCCAATATGAAGATTCATGTTTGCCCCAAAATTGTGGATAATGCATTCACAAAACACTGGAAGTCGCATATGACTTTTTAAATGTAACATGCTAGTATATATATTTTTTGCCACTTGCAGAAGTGGAACTGAGAAAACAGTGACTTGTTGAGGCCTGCATAGTAATCCATGAAACTATAGGGCACTTGACCCTCTGCATTCATTCATTTCTTTCTTTCAATACACAACTAGCTGAAGCTCAATGGTCAACTGAGAGGATAGGTTTATACTAGCTGCACTCGTGAAAATTCACAGGTATATAAATGTGAATGGTGAAAATGGCAGCCTTCTGTGCTCAGCCATAATCATTGAGTACAACCTTGCTGCAAAAAAACAGTGATGTACCTAGTTCAGCATTCTGTCTCTAGTAGGGGCCAACAAGACACCATAGGAAAGTCACAGGCAAGACATGAATGTAATAGCCACACTTTGTCCCATCCCCCCCCCCCGCAAATCAGATAAAACTTGTCTTTAATCATGGAGCTTTCATTTAGCATGTCATCACTTATACTGATTGGCCAACCTATATTCCATTACTATCTGACACGTAATGGCCCAATTTGCACATTAACTATAGTTTATTGTGAACACAGAGACTGCTTTCACTTTGCTCCTCTCCTATGGCAAGCAGGAGCAACAAACTGCAATCCCTGCATTAGTATTTTGTCTGTACTGGGAGCTGTGGTTTGTTTCACTTAGGCAAAGCATGGCCAGGAAGTCAAACAAATCTTGGCTTCACATCATGGTTTGTTTGGACTTAAACAAACCACAACCCCAGATTCAGATGCTATACTAAGCGAGGGTTTGTGGTTAACTGCTGCCAGATGCAAGGGGAGGAGCTAAGTGGGAACAATCTGTGTGTTCAAGGTAAACTATGGTTCATTAACTATGGGTCCTGATGTGTGAATGCTGCCATTCTGTCCAAGATAAGAAGTAACTATCTGGTATGATATAAGCAGAGAACGTTTTATTAAGGCATTGCTGATAGCTTCTAACACAGTGTCAGCTTCGTCTGTCTAAACTGGGCATTTTTCTGCAATAACTGGCAAAGGATCAGAATTGGGCTTGGCTGACCCTACAGTATACCATATTTTTCTGTGCATAAGACTAGGGGTTGTTTTTTTACCAAAATATTAGGTTTAAAATTGGAGTTTGTCTTATACATGGGTAGTGCTGAGGGGTGTTTTCTTAATTTGGAGTCCCCCCAAATAGGGAGCGTCTTATACATGGGGGCATCTTATACATGGAAAAATACGGTATTACCTTTCTCTTTTATGGTAAGATTCATATAGAGCTCAACTTGGAAACTAGAAAGAAAAAAAACACAGACACAAATGCCACCTTCTCTACTCTGAGGCACCTCACAAACATACTTGGAAATAAAGAGCAGAATCTAATCAAGTACTTTTGCTAGTGCAAGGACTTCTGGCTGCAAAGTGGAACTTCCCCTCTCTCTTCTCTCCCAATATCCCCACCCTTTTGCACCCTTAATGTGTTCTGGAGATTCTCCCAACCCTGCAAAGAAGATTTGGGGAGAGTGCAGGGAGGGGCACACAGGGAGAGGAGGGATAAGTTCTGTTTCACTAGCAGAAATCCCTGAGCTAGTGAAAATTTCACTAGTCATTGCCAAAAGGTTTGAGCTAGCTTTTCTACCAAATACCACAGCCAGGCTGAAGGAAAATTTTCACTAAATTCAATGCTTTTACACATGAAACAGAATAAATGAGTGACCATCTCATCCAAGAATAGAAGTAAAAAAGTAACACCCCTAGATATTTGACTGAAAAGTACAAGCAATGTCTGTTACTGTGTATATGCAATCTGGAAAAATGAAAACTCTAGGACAGAGGGCTAACATACTTCTTCCTTTCTGATAAGATGCAGGAACAGATAAAATCTCCAGATATTATGAAGTAAAATTTACTTAGTTTAAAAAGTTGTTTTTAAAAAATTGGTTGCTGGTTCTGATTGAGTTTCCATAACTAGTCCAAGAAAGAAGCCAAAACAAGTCTATGCAAATATTCAGTTGCAAGTTGAAAACAAGGGATTTGGAATCATATGCAAATCAAAAGGAAAGAATCTACTCTGGCATTTGACAACAGCTTGGAAGCACATTGAGCCTACTCATACAGCTTAACATTTGACATAATTTGCTATCCAGCACTGAAAGCTACACTTTCTAAAGTTTGGCCATCTTTTCTTGAGTCAGAGAAAAGGACCATGAATGAACAAATCCAGAAGATATGGTACTTAAGCTCAGCAAGAGCCTCAGGCAAGAAAGAAAAAAGCCAGCCAAATCAGCTAAAAAGAAAAGGACAATAGGAAAGTAACCAAGATGGTCTCAGTAAAGTAGCTGACATCCTTTCAGAATGTTCCATTCTGTTATTACAATCAAGAACTTTTTGGCTGTAAAGGGAGCAATGCTTCTTTCTGCTAACTAGTTTCCTCTGGGACAGGACACATCTGAATTCTAAACACGGATTATAGAGAGCAACTGTCTTATTATTTTTATTTTATGTTAACTTCAAAATTTGGATGGGCTGATGAAACTTGTTTTGGCCTAAAATGAAGAAATAAACTTGTCAGATGTAAAAATAAAGGGCACAGAGAACATCAGAAGCAAGCAACAAACAAAAACATAGTATCAAAAAGATAGGTATTAGATGGCATGGTCCAAGAACAAAGAGGGTGTATTCATTAACTAATGGGAACTAATACAACATCCAATTCATTATAAAGTTTTTCAAGTCTTTAACTGGTATGTCTACATGTTTCCAAGATTTTCTAAAAGCATGAGCTCTAGAAACAAGATTCTGAGCCTTTCAGCAAAACCTGCCAACAAATTATAATCCCGTGCAGATTTAAGAACATAAGAAGAGCCTGCTGGAGCAGAAAAATTACCCATCTAGTCCGGCATCCTAGTCATAGTATGCCCAACCAGATGCCAAACGAAATTCACAAGCAGGAGCCAAGCAGAAGAGCATTCAACACCACCCCATGGTTTCCTGCAACTGGTATGCAGGCGCATTACTGCCTCCAACTATGGAGGTAGAGCACAGCCATCATAGCTAGTTGCCATTGATAGCCTTCTTCTCCATGACTTTGTCCAATCCTTTTTTAAAGCCATCCAAGTCAGTGGCCATCACTGCCTCCTTAGTTTAGTGAGTTCCTTAGTTTAACTACGTGCTGCATTAAGAAGTATTTTCTGCTATTCGTCCTGATTCTTCCAACATACAGCTTCACTGGATGTGCACAAGTTCTAACGTTTCAAGAGAGGGAGAGATACTCCCTCTTTCTTCAAGCCATGCTAATTTTATAAACTTCTATAACGTCAACTCTTACTCGCCTTTTCTCTAAACAAAAAAAGTCCCAAACATGACAAGCTTTTCTCATAGTGGAATTTCTTGATCCCCTTGATTGCTTTGGTTGCTCTTTTCTGAACCTTTTCCAACTCTACAAGATTCTTTTAGAGGCATCCAGAACTGTACACAGTATTCGAAATGCAGTCACCCCATAGATTTTGTATTATCACTGAGCTATCCACTATGACCCCAAGGCCTCTGTCCTGTTCTCAAACTCCAGGAACATGTTTAATATTAATATTTGTCGTCGTGACATGCACTTGTTTACATTGAACTGCATTTGCCATTTTACCACCCATTCAATCAGTTGGGACTTTCTGGAATATATAATATTATATATCTCAAGTACCCTTGATAAGACTGTGGATGAGAATCAAGCCATGGAGTCATGGGGGACACACACACACACCTAGTATTGCATTATCTTTCCGAGCACTAAATTCTCTTTAACCTTGGAATGCACAAAAACATTTTCCAAGTGAAGCAATATAGTGGTATAACAAAGTATTTCATTCAGAATAGAAATAGGGTCAAAATCAATCAATATCCAACAGTTCACTCCAAGAGGCGGCTAATGCACTCTTCACATGCTTTTAGCTGGTAACACTAAAGGTCCACTTTTCCTGCATGAGGAGAACATCCACTTGAGCTCTTGACTGAAATCTTCCTATGCTGGCACTTATACAACATTTATGCAACAAAAACCTATGTTGTGGGAAATGACACAGGGGAAATGGTATGAGTGAACAGAACTAGATACTGATGTAGTATGTCACTTACCATCTGAATAAATCTTGGGAAGGAGAAGTACCAAACTCAACTCCACAGCATGACTTATATGAACTTATCTATTATTATTATAATGGAATTAGGCATATGGATAGAGAAAGATCTACAGGACTGTTTCTGACATTTAATTACAATTCACTGCTCTGATCTAAAGACTCACAGGACCTCCAATGCTCATATGGAGCTCTTAGTGATGGGTAGCTCCTTGCATGTAATGGGATGCCACCCTGCCACAGGTAATTGAGGAAGCTCTTGTGTGCATGAGAGCTACACATTATTTACTGCTGTATCAACGCATGAACCTGGGTCTAAACAGGCCCACTGGTCTATTAATACCTTGTTGAAAAGAGAACTACAGGTTTTTCACAAGGTTATGTATCCAATACAACTCCTCAAATTCTGCTCGCGCTCACACTTCTAATCAGTGCTATTTTTCGAGAAAAAGAAGTGCCGGAACTCACCATGAACGCCTCCCTTGTTCTCTTATAATAGCAATGGCACCCACCTGAGAGGCGCTGGAACGGAGTTCAGGGGAGTTCTGGCTGGAAAAAAAGCCCTGCTTCTAATGCAGTTTGATACAAGTTTTGAGTAAAAAGGAGTTGTTTAGGATTTCTTAATTTAGTAAAGAAGCACAAGGAGAACCTGAAAAGACTATGATGCACAGTACTATGGCCCTACATGTCTGGTTTTTTTAAATCTAGCGTAGGCACTTTCAATTCAATATCAACAATTTTTAGATGGTTATATAACCAGCAATGAGAACACAGCTTTTTTTTACAGAACAAGTGCACAGAAATGAAGCTGACTCAGACCAATGATTTAGGCTGCAGTCCTATGCACATCACCTGTACTCAGTAGATCTCAGTAAGGAGAGATACACTGGATTGAATTACAAATACAATATTTTTCCATACTGATTTAATAATGTAAATTTCTTAGTTTTCATTCATCATAGCCTTTGAACAAATTAGGTGATGAGTTTCAATAAAATCACCAGGTAAGTTTCTTGCCAGGAATGAATACTTACATTTCTAACACTGAAAGCAGGCAGAAAGGCAGGATAGAAGAAAACCAACTGTTTTTTGCCTTCAAAGAGCAGCAAATCTGGGCAGCCTGGTAAAGAGAACTGGTTCTATGCAAGACTAAAGGTCATCTCCCACACTGTGATTTTACATTAAGTAATTAATGTACACCTGTAACATATTTCTGTGATCACTCACTTTGATTCAAATGTGCCTACTCATCAGAAAGACACAAGTACAGGTGATGTTCACAGAGTGGTTCAGCAAACCCTTGCAATAAACTTTTACTTTGCAACAACCAAAGTTAAGGGTTAAAAATAGATATCCTGCATATTTTAGGCAAAAGAGTGGTTCGAAAGCCATTTCCCTTACTTAACACCATAATGTGGGAACCAGCCTGAAGTTTGCCTTTCAATGTGGGATGTTTTCCAATATGCAGAGGAACAAACACTCTTTACCGCAAGACTACCCAGGTGAGTAATTAAAATTCAAATATCATAACATACTGGTTTACCTGAGCACCCAAATGCATAGGTATTATTGAGAGTTAACTCCTAGGTGCTCATAGTACCGTTTCTACTACAAGAATATGGAGTGTGTTCCTATCCTTCCCATGTTAACACAGAATGTTACTTGGGAATAATACTAGGAGTACTTAACAGCCTAAAAACAAAAGGAAAGGAAAAGCTGAATAGCCTGCTATATACCAATCAACACTCTTGAGATCCCAAACTAAAACACTAAGCAAACAAGAAACAGTTCAATAAGGGAAGTATTTTGTTACAAGAGCTATTAAGGATCTAACTGCTTGAGGATCTAACCAAGTATTAGGCCAAACATGCTAGCAGCATCTGGCAAACTTTTTTTTGTTACCCACAGAAACTCTGAGTGTGGTACTGCACTTCCAGGTGCTAAACAAAAAATAATATATTGCAACAAAATTGTGAGATGCTTACAGGACCATCAGAGTTGTACAATGAACAATCTGCCTCTCATATAATTACCTAATCAAGAGCACTGGGAGTGCAAATAAAAAACAAACACCTCCCTATACTGGTACTTTACTCCATCTAAAGCAGCTTGAGAGAGAAGTCTACTGTACATAGCTTTGCAGTTATATACAGTGGTACCTCGCAAGACAAATGCCTCGCAAGACAAAAAACTCGCTAGACGAAAGGGTTTTTTGTTTTTTGAGCTGCTTCGCAAGACGATTTTCCCTATGGGCTTGCTTCGCAAGACGGAAACGTCTTGCAAGTTTGTTTCCTTTTTCTTAACACCGTTAATACAGTTGCGACTTGACTTTGAGGAGCAACTCATAGCACGTGGTGTGGTAGCCTTTTTTGAGGTTTTTTAAGACTTTGGTGATTTCTGAAGCTTTTCCAAAGCTTTCCCAACACCGTGCTTCGCAAGACGAAAAAAATCGCAAGACGACAAAACTCGCGGAACGAATTAATTTCGTCTTGCGAGGCACCACTGTATAACAATATATATGTAGTTTCTCAGATACTGACCTTGAACACTTTATAACACACACACACCCAAAAAAGGTGGTGGTTAGTGTCCGGTGCCAACTCAGCAGTAAAGCTTAGTAACATTTACTATTCTGGTGTTTGTATGTATCTATGAAGGATACTTCAAACACAACAAAATCCCTATATGGGAAGCACTTCTATACATGAAATAGAAGGCAAACAACATACTGTACAGGTATTTGACAATTGCGAACATGAGCGTTTTGCTGCATGTACATAGGCTGGTGCTGAAAAGTGGCAAGGGCAGCTTCCTAGCATATAATGAGCAGGTGCTGATGCCTTGTAATGAGTCAGACCACCAGTCCCTCTAACTCTGTATTGTCTACTTTGACTGGCAGCAGCTCTCCAGATGTCTTTCACAGTCCTCCTACTAGAGATTCCCTTCAATTGCTATCAGTTATGTCCAAAATCCTGTACATTGCAGGGCATAACAGGCTTTCCAGGTTAGCTGGTTCGAAAGCTGTATGCCAATCCTGAGACCACCATGTCCCAAGATACTGCAGTGAGTGATCATACACATTTGTGGAAGGAGAGAACTGATTATTAAGTGTTAAAACAGCATAAGTGGTGTCACAAAGCACCATTCATTATTTCAACAGTACAAACCTAATCCTATACTCATTTCACTGGAAATACCACTAATTTTAGCTTCTATGTATTAAATGGGGCTGTTAGGAAAACAGTGTTGAGTTTACATTGTAAATATTAAGATATACTTTCAGCTTTATTTTGTTAAATATTTTACCAAGTACATAGGTATCAAAGTGTCCCTCTCCAAAAATTTAGTAGGTACACAGAGAGGTTTCTTATGGGCATAATCAGAATTATGAGGTGGTAAGCCAACATCTGTTTCTCAAAAACAATTGCTCAATATGCACCGACGCTGAGAAAAGGACCTTGCACTTTCCATCCACATCTCACATTCATGCACTCTGCATCCTCCTTAATTACAAGCACACCTACTAATAATCTGATACAGTACTCCCTTTATTCGAGTAGAGAAGCACTCACTGTTATGCATTCCCCATTCAACCAAAACCACCTTCTAACTTCAATGTCAGAAAAGCCTCACCTCTAATCTACCTACATAGTGCACTCATAAAAAAAAGAACAAGACCACTTTGCCCCTGCATGCCAACAGAAAAGCCACTTATGGACTCCAGACACATCATACATTTAAAGCATACACAAACATGCCACCAACTTATGGGGACTGTAATTTGTAAAGGTGCTGGGAACTGTAGCTCTGTGGGGGTTAAATTAAGGTTCTCAGGACTCTTAGAGAGGTGCTTTAAATCTATGGGGCCTACACAGACCTAGCTTTTGTTTACCCCTACACCCCACTCCCACCCCAAGGGCAATTAGGCTGCAATCCTGTACACACGGACCGTAAAGTAAATCCCCTTGAACTCAACAGGACTTCTGAGCAGACATGAGCAACATGGACATGCTACCTCTACCCCGACCTTAACGCATGCGTTCTTCCGACACATACCTTCGTTAGTCAGCCAGACGTCAGCCTCGTATTTTTTGCTTATTAATTCTGTTTTCCCAGTAGTGATCACGCCCTGGCGATTAGGCTCCCCACACCCTCCCCAGACTTACACCCCGGGATGAGTCCCCGAACCGTGGCTACTCCCATCACCCGGAAACCGCCCACATGCCCCGGGCAGAGGAGCTAGAAGGCCCCGAGTTTCCCCTCACACGTACATCTAGGCACACGTATAGCCGCCGCCCCCAACTGCACCCCTACCCGTGTTGCCGCCCAGAAGCGCCTGTTCACACACACGAAGCTACCCCGCCGCCCCGCTTTCCTCGTCTCCCTCCCTCCCTACACACCACACCCCCCTCCCACCCAGCGGAGCCCCACACGGGAAAGCGGCTCTTCTCGGCTTCGCTGGAGAACTCCAGGCGGCCGAGGCCTCTCGGTCTCCGGCGAGGCCTGGTCCAGCTCGGGCGCCCCCTCCCGTCCCCGCAGCCAGCCAGGCGGGGAGCGTGTGGTGGGCGGCGAGGGTTGGCAGGGAGCGAAGCGCCGCGCGGCCTACAGCAGGCTCCGCGGGCGTCGCTTCGGGCCCGGCTGCCGCCGCCGCCGCTCCTCCCCAGGCGCGCTTCCCTTACCCTGCATGCTGCTGACTGTCGTGTGCGCCGCCTGGGACCCGCCGCCGCCGGAGCCAGAGCCGGGGCCGGGAGCCGCCATTGTGCAGCGCGCCAGACGCGGAGGGAGGGAGGGAGGGAAGGAGGGAGAAGGGGACGGACGGCAGGAGGAGGGAGGCTGCAATGCAGCAGGAGCGGAGGAGCAGCGGACCCGACCCCCTCCTTGCCCGTCCCGCGCGCCCGCCCTCGGCTCCTCGCCCGCGCGCTGCTGCTGCGGCTGCGGCTGCTCCTCCCTGCCCCGCTCGCTGCTCCCTTCAGCCCCAGCAGGCAGCTGGCGGGACACCCGGAGCCGGGACTCGCGACAACAGGCGCCAGCCTCCCTGGCCCCGACCGACCCAAACCACCGCCAGTCGTCGTCGTCGCCGTCCTCCTTCTCCTCCTCCTCCCGCTCTCTCTCTCTCTCTCGGCGCTGCTAGGGCTCCGCTTGCAGCCTCCGCCGTCCGCTCGTCCCCTCCCACCCTCGCGGCATCAGGGTAACCCCTCCCAGGCAGCGGGCGGGACGGATGATGCCTCCGACGGCTTCGCCCAAAAAGACGCAGGAAGAGGGAGGGAGGCAGGAAAAGGAGGCGCGAGGAGGAGAGACCCAGCTGGATCCGGCGGCGGCGGCGGCGGCAGGCCCGGCTAGTCCTGCACCCGCCGCCTCCCACAATGGCGAAGCTGATGCCCCGCCGCCGCAGCCCCGTTCTCCCCGACTCGCAGATTCCCCAGAAGCCGGTCATTCAGTCGACTGGCGGCAATAGCGACGAGAGGTAGCCATTGGCCGCCTTGTTGGTCTAATCACCTTTCTAAAACAGCCCAGCTTGGCGGCCATCTCTCCCATGTTGTGACAGCGAATTCGGTGGTTTTAAACGGGCTGAAGAGATTCTTCCTATTGTCTGTCCTGCATCATCCCCCCAACCTCCTGCCTTTCAGATTTAATGGATGAACCCAGATCTAGTACCTGTATTATGAGAGAGAGAAACCCGCTCTCTTCTTTCTCCCGCGTACGAGGAGAGCCTTGCCGCATCAGACGGAAGGTCCGTCTAGTTTAGCGTTCTCTACTGCGCTTAATTTTATACACCTATTTGCTCGCCTCCCCCTGTCCTGGTAAATAAGCCACGGCAGCGAGCTTCACATAAGCAACTTATTCCAACAACTTACATCTTTTCCATAACTCTCCAGAATCTTTTGCAACTAGATAACAAAACATTGTATCTTGAAATATAGTGATTAAAATGTGATTAAGTACCTCAAATGAGATTATATCTTAGAATTATTTCCTTATTCTTTCAAATGATGCAATGTTGAATGAAAAGACATTTCTATATAAAATGAATCATATATTTTCTTTGTGGGCTTAGCATTCTGGAATATGTTCACAAATAAAGCTACAAGACGTTTCTGGAAGAATCACATGGAATAATTATGTTCACTTATGACCTGCCTTTCCTGATACTAACATGTGGATTTAAAAAAAATAAAAATAGGGACAGCAATCTTTTTTGTTTTGTTTTTGGGTAACCTTTTTATTCTGAAAAACAGGTGGAATATAATTGTATTTAAATAAATAACTTGTTCCATATGCAAATGAATCTTATCCTTTCCATGTTTATTCAATGTTTATTCAATGAGATAAGAGGTAGTTCTTCGTTTGTTTTCTTCCACCTTTGCAGAATTAAGATCACCATGCCGAAACTCATCAATCCTGATCCCAAAGTTCTCAGTGGCCCCTTTTGTCTCTCCCCTATGGTGCTTCTCCTCATACAGTACTGACATAGCCCAAATCTTGTATGGTACCTACTTCTTCCTATCAATTTCCCATTAATTTGAATTAAGCTCATATAATACTTTTAACTTGGATGTAAGCCCTGTTTGCAATGCAATATTATGCATGCCTACCCATTGAGTTCCTTGGGGCTTGCAACTATATGAGTACAGGTTTGCAGCCCGATTCTAATATATAATTTTCCAGAAATATGGTTCTTTCAATGTGCCTGGAAGCTCCACTGAAGAAATGGCTGTATATCATTCAGCCTAGGACCAGTTTGTGTTTAGGGTCGCAGCATGATTTTCCAGTGTAATTGGCCAACACTTCCCAATTAGCTGGAATCCAGGAAAGGAAACACAAATAAAAGCCCCAAGAAACATATTTAATTGGTTTCATGTATATGCAAGGTCATGCCAGCATAAATCTGTCCACAGCCCAAGAACTGATGTGCCCAGTTCTCACTTGGCAGCTGCCTGAAGCAGTATGAAAATATTTATTTCATAACAGTTTTAAACCCTTTTTTCTCAAAAGGGAGAAGCTTCTAGTAAATTATACTGTACATGGCAACATATCTTTTTCATACATTCCCCTTGTTGGTGATCCTACTGCCGCTGTCACTGGAGTGATTTCAGGGAGACTTTTTCGGGGTTCTGGCAGTTAAGGGGCAAGGTCTGCTGCCTGGAAAAGGAAGGTGCAACCAGGTCAGCTTTGAAGTCCTGGCAAGTGGGTCTTCCAGTTAATACACTGGACTGAGCAGAGCCGGATTTAGGTTTGATGGGGTCCTAAGCTACTGAATAGGGATGCAGGTGGTGCCGTGGGTTAAACCACAGAGCCTAGGACTTGCCGATCAGAAGGTTGGCGGTTCAAATCCCCGCGACGGGGTGAGCTCCTGTTGCTCAGTCCCTGTTCCTGCCAACCTAGCAGTTTGAAAGCACATCAAAGTGCAAGTAGATAAATAGGTACCTCTCTGGTGGGAAGGTAAACGGCGTTTCCATGCGCTGCTCTGGTTCGCTGGAAGTGGCTTAGTCATGCTGGCCACATGACCCGGAAGCTGTAGGCCGGCTCCCTCAGCCAATAAAGCGAGATGAGCGCTGCAACCCCAGAGTCAGGCACGACTGGACCTAATAGACAGGGGTCCCTTTACCTTTAAGCTACTGAATGTAATGGGGCCCTTTATATGTCCAGCTGTCCTTTGTCAACAACAAATTGTAGCTGTTTTTTGTGTTAAATACTGTATATGCTATATGGTAATTTATGAACCTAATAGGTATCTAAAGCCATTTGCACATAACAAAATATGTATTTTACAAAAGTAATTGTTGAATTTATCTTATATTTTGGAAATGTACATCTAGTTCCCCCCCTTTAAATTTTTTGGGGGCCCCCAAGCGAGTGGGGCCCTAAGCTAAAGCTTGTTTAGCTTATACGTAAATCCGGCACTGGGTCTGAAGCAGAGATTGGCAGCTGCTTTGCGTTGCTCCGCCTCCCAGTTGTGGCGCAGAACTTTCCCTCTGCTGAACGACAGCGCTCGGCGAGGACCCTGCCCAGCTTCGTCAGAAGAGCGCGGCGTGGGCGGTGCATGGCAGGACTACGAGTGCAGGGCGGGGGGCTTTGTAAGGGGTGTGTATGTAAGGGGCGTGTATGAGGTAGATCGAGCGCCTCTCTCCACTGGTGGGGCGGGAGAGGGGCGGGTACGCGAGCGAGCAATGGAGGCCGCCGCCGCTTCGTTGCCTAGGCTTAAGCGGGAGTCTCCGCCGCCGCCGCCTCCTTCCGCGGGTGCCAGCAGCCGGGTCTGGAGACTTAGCAACTTGGTCATGGCCGTCTTCTTCGGACTCGCCGGGGCCGTGCAGGTCGGGGATGGTGCTGCGCTGGGCGTAGGAGGAGGGCGAGAAAAGTGTGCAAGGAGCAGCTTGGCTGTGTGCGGGTGGGCGAAGGTCGGTCGCAGGGTTGCAGCTGGCCGGTTTCCAGGGCAGGGCGAAGGGTAACGAGGAAAGGGCGTTCAGGATTGCAGCTTTGGAGAGGTTTGAAGCGGGACTGGCCCAGGCGGGAAGGGAAGATCGACCGCACACCTTTTTTTCATCATCACAGAAGGTGATGTAGAAAGAGGAGCATTCTTCTCTATTATGTTTATTTGGGGCAAAACGTATGCATAAACCTGCTCTCCCATCTCCACCGAAAAAAGCAACCATAATCCCGTCGTTAAAAGCAAGTTAGATGCATTAAAAAGTCACAGCATCTCAACACGAAACACATTGAAAACAAACAAAACCAAGAGAGCCAGGACTAACGCATCAGAATCTGAACAGGCATGAAACCAAATGCTTTCTGAAGATGAAAAGTCTTTTAAGTGGTGGCAGAAAACAAGTAGGGAGGGAGATAGATAAGATCTCTCAGGGCAGGGATACCATTTTATAAGGTGCCACCACAGGGAAGGCCTCACATGCTGTCACACAACGCAGAAGGCAGGGGAGCAGGCAAGGGGGTCTGTTTATTTTCAAGACATGGGCAGATACAGATGGGAGGTGGTCTTTCAAATAGCTTGGTCCTAGGCTCCATCTTGAAGGGTTTAATGACCACCTTCCATTATATTTGGGACAGTTGTTTACCTATGCAGTTCTGTAGCTTTTTTAAAAAGAGGGAAGAAGCTCCAGGTTACTTCTCCCTATCAGCAATCCACATTGCCCCTCAAGAACATCCTTCTTTGTTCCGGTTTCCCCTTCCCCCACCTTGTTGCCATTACTTAAATTGATTTAGTTCTGAAACTGGTTGTGATCAAGTCTGGTCTATTTCACTACTCCAATGATTTGGACAATACTTTAGGATAAACAGGTGACATTGGGGAAATAAAGCAATTTCTCCCCCTGCCACAGTGAGACTTCATTCTCCCCATTATATTTATGTAGTTTTCAAGCTATGAATGCTGGATTAGGAAATGTATCACTTACTAACAGTAAAGCAGAATCAGTCTTCTGCTCTAAAAACTGCCTAGGGGGAAACAGTATGTGCACAGTTTATATCTTCCTGAGTTGTTGTTTTGGTAAAATATGCAATTCATTTATATCCTATTAGCAATCTGCTGACAGTACCTGAAAAAAAATACCGGTAGCTAGACTGTTGTCCTTAGTTCCACTAAGGCTGCAGCCCCAAACACATTTACTAGAGAATACCCCCCCCACACACACACACCTGTTTTCCTTCTGGATTTACTCTTGGGTACAGAAATGATCTAGAAGACAGCACTGGGTATATGTTCGGGGTTTTTAATCTGCAAAATTCCACAGGTCTCTGCTTACAGTTGCCCATTTCACATTGAGCAAGGCTCACCAACAATTTATCCTGGAGTCTTGGATATGAATACTCAGGATTAACTGATTTACGGATCAGTTGGAAGGATTTTTATGCTATGCACAATTTAATGTTTTTAGCAATGTTTCCTGTCTTCTTTGTTGCAGGTCAATGACCCAGATCCAGGACTCTGGATAGTGAGTATAAATTCAGAGGCTATTACAAGTCATAGAGAACTTGACATTGTCGGAGGTGTCTTGTCAGGCAGCCCCATTGAATTTCAAGCCATGTCATCTGTCTGAAGTGCTTTTGCAGCTTGAGCAAAACTCCTTCTAATTGGCTTTGGGCTGTTGCTCAGTGACATTGTGTTCTAACATGACGCTTTATTTTTGTTGTTGTGGATTTACATTATATAAATATTTATAAAATAGCTTACAGATAAAACATCAGAATAGATTACAAAAACGACTGTAGAAGCAGCATAAAACAGCGCAATATAATTAAAGAGTTTCAAGTGCTGGGGAAATAAGACTTGGTGCTAGAGATGCAGTAATTTTTACAAAACTTACCTGCTTTTTGAGGAACTTCATTCACAAAGTGGCTTACAATCTTCAATATCAGAGTAAGCACTGGGGAAACCTCCCTGGAGAGAGGGTTTCACAGGCACAGATTGCCACTAAGAACTCGGTTGGATCAGACCAAGGGCTCATCCAATCCAACATGCTGTTCTCTCAGTGCCCAACCAGATGCCTGAAAAGGCCCCTTTCCCCTTATCATCACATGCTTCACTTCAGATGGCACCTGGAGGACGACCTTTGATGATCTCAGTGAACTGGCAGGCTTGATTCTTAGGAATCCAAGCTTCAAGACATCCAGAGCTCTAAAGGCAAGCACAAGCTCCTTAAACTGTGTACAGAAGCAGGGCTGAAAACAGTGCCATTGGTTAAGCACCAGCAAGATATATTCCCATCACCTGGTCACCATTATAGTCCTTGCTGCTGTGCTTTGAACCAACGGCAGCTTCCAAACAATCTTCAGAGCAGCCCCTCGTATAGCACATTAAGGTAAAGGTACCCCTGCCCATACGGGCCAGTCTTGACAGACTCTGGGGATGTGCGCCCATCTCACTCAAGAGGCCGGGGGCCAGTGCTGTCCGAAGACACTTCCGGGTCACGTGGCCAGCGTGACATCGCTGCTCTAGCGAGCCAGAGCCACACACGGAAACGCCGTTTACCTTCCCGCTAGAAAGCGGTCCCTATTTATCTACTTGCACCCGGGGGTGCTTTCGAACTGCTAGGTTGGCAGGCGCTGGGACCGAGCGACGGGAGCGCACCCTGCCGCGGGGATTCGAACCGCGACCTTTCGATCGGCAAGTCCTAGGCGCTGAGGCTTTTACCCACAGCGCCATCCGCGTCCCCACATCCACGTCCCCACATCCGCGTAGCACATTAGACTACTGTAATTTGGAGATTCTAGAGCACGAACCACCTCTGTCAAGGTGTGCATCACCTTTGACTGTGAAAGATGCTCAGTGCCACGGAGGCCACTGGGGCCTCTAATGACAATGATGTAATTAAAACAACCCTCAAAATGCAAACCTCCTTTAGGGGCAGTCCAGCCTTGCCTAGAACAGATCAAATACACATCCTCCAGGCAACAGAACCACCAGCAGCAGTAAGCATCTCACTTGCAATCATCTCATCAGACTGCATTGTTCTCTTTGTATTGATGATGACATGGGCCGTTCCTTCAGCAGACTCTTTTGCCTTTATGAATAGTTTTGTGATCCAAGGGGCTGCCTTTGCACAAATGAAACACCCTTTTCCTTCCAGGATCTTGCACACTTTCTCTTCCTGGGAGACAAGCACCCATTCCTTCCTTATTATTCCTGGTGTAGTTATCTGGGGGCATCAGATTGGCTCTTCTATCTGTCTGGTAACCAGGATGGAGTATGTTGTCTTCCTTGTCCCTGCCTTCAATTTCTACTTAGTAGATTTGTTCTATCTCACTCTCAGGTTGCCTACTCTGTACCTGCAGCTCTCACACTGGTTGTTGGCCTTAGTCCACCAATTGCAGGTACAGTATTAGATTCCCTCTTCCAATCCCCAAATCAATTGGACCATTCACCTCTTCCTCTTAGTTATTTTAATTATGGTTATAATTTGAGGGCAGGGGAGGTCTTTGTGTCTTGCCTATGTTCAGACTACTATATAACTTTTATTTAGTTCCAAAGTACTGCTAGATGTTGTACAGAACAAATATGTAGTGAAGATGCTGGGTGGGGATATTAGACCTCAGATTCATTGATTGGAGCTCTTAAATGTTTCAAAACACCCTTCATTAGGATACACAATCTGAACAACGCATATTGTGCCTATTCATTTCCAACTTCTCCCTCCTACACATTTTTGGTGTTCCTCTAAAGGATCTTGGGTATGCTGAGCATTATTTCCCTTTTTATCATGCCACTGACATCCAGGCTGTTCTTTTTTCAAAGCTTGTTTATTTATAGGAATAGCTTGCATTACTTTTGTCCATTTCACTGAAATGCCTATTTTAAGTTTTTTGTTTTAAAATTACCTATGGTTTAATTTCGTTACTAACTTGTTCCAAATTAAGAGAAATCTGTATTTTTTGAAACACATTGTCCTATTTTACTATTCTTATTTCTCTCTCTCTCTCTGAATGATGAATTCTTCCATATCCTGATCGCTTTCTCCCAGATGTCACATCTTAACCAATTATTTTCTCGAAGTCAAAACTTCATTTGTTGTGGCGTGTCAGCTGTTTCTTCTGCTTTCTGCAATATAAAGTAATCTCTTGCATATATTAACTATTTGCTAAATCCAGTCTTTTTAGATATTTTATGCCTGCATGAAGGATCCCTCTTCTTGTTCTCTGCTTGATGATCTTTAGTACATACCAAATATAAAATCACTTGTGGCACAATCCTATGCATGTTCAGTTCAGTCAGCCAAACTCTGTAGAGAATTACAGTTTCCTCCTCCTTATTGTTTGAAGCCCTTCTGAAGAGACACATCCATGGAAAATGAATTCAGTAAGTCGGTAGATCCAGACTGTTAATTGAACTTAATTCCCACTAATCAGTGTGAACTAAATCAAGACTAACTTGTCCAGTTGGTTTCATCGGGACCTAAGTTCAACTAACTTGGGCTACAATCCTATTTCCACTTCCTAGGAGTAAGGCCCATTGAACTCAGTGGAGCTTATTTCTGAGTGGGCCTGTATGGGTTTGCACTGTTAGTTTGGAAATGTAAATTCTATTGAAATTTGTACCAATGACTTACCGCTTTCCTTAGACAATATTGTGTGGCGGAGTCTGTCAGATCTACATTCAGCTGCTTGTCTTGTGGGTTCTGCCATCTTGGGGTATTCCTTGTTTACTAATGCTCAGAAAAGCATCTTGCATGAGGAAGAAGGCAGGTATGTAATAATTTCTTTTTTTCTGCACAGTTTTCATATTGTCAACCTTCCACTGAAGTTAGAGGTTTCTTTTTAGCAGTCGGATTCTCACGAGACCCTAACTATAGGTCTGTTAAGAACCAGAAGCCAGCAGGCTAGCAGACCACCTCAAAAGCACAGGATTAAAGTTCTGAAATCCTTGGTTCAAATTCAACAGAGATGCAGTTGTGTCAAACTTCTCAACAAAAAGAAATCACAGCAGATTTTTCCTACAACCTGACCTCATTGTGGCTGCATACAGCCCACTGGAAGCAGTACCATATAATTGGGAAGGGATAGGGACTCAAAATTAAGGAAATGTCACAACCCCCTGCCCTCCCATTCTCTCCTCTTCCTCGTCTTCCATTACTTTGTACATGTACTAAGCTACTGCCGCAGTGTTGGGCTTAGTGCTATGATAGCTTTAAAGTGAGAAACGGTTTGCTTTCCCCCAGAGAAACTGACATCTGACACTTCTTATGGTAAGTTTATTTATTCTTGTTCTTTGCTGAGTCTGCTTGCATATGATTAAATTTATGGACAACACATTTGAATAACTTACAATCTTTTTTAAAAACAGGGAGTTATTTGGTCTGTTGATTGTTACCGTCTGGATGAGCCTTTGTCGTCGTTCAGCCAAGTGAGCCTTTTAGCTATTTATAATATGTGGAAGAAATAGTCTTTACTCTATTGAAGATATGGTATAGCCTTCTTCCCTCAAAATGACTTTAGTTTTGTGATGTTTTAGTTTTGTGATTCGTTTTATACCTTAATGCCGTACGATTTTCAATTTACAAGACTGTAAACTTGAGCATGTTCAAATAGTTTGCATTTTTCTATAAAGCATAATTTATAGTTATAATTCAGCATTTGTATTCCAGTTGAGGTAAACGTAACTCTCAGCATATAAAGGAGTGATTAATCATATTTCTTTGGGGGGGTAGAATAGTTGTTTCCCACACCGCCCCAACTTGTGCTTGAGCAAAGCACCCAATTTTCTTCTCATTGCAGCCCCCGGAAAAGCTGCTCCTGGGTTATGTGGGAGCCTCTGGAGCAGTGTGGTTCAGGGGCTGCAGGAGGTAAGGATTGGCAAAAATCAGCTACTGTGCCTTTGCAGAAATACTTTCTGGTAGCACAACCCCACCATTGGGGGGGGGGTTCATAAAGTTTCAGACAAAAATCTTTTTTTAAAAAAAATAAAAATAGATGAGATTTCAACAAGTTGGTTAAGTTCCTGTTAATTCGACTTGATTTTCAGTAAATCGTCTTTTCTTTCCTTACAGAAATTCCCTGGGTGGGTTTCACTTGGCCATTGCAATCTTCCTCTCCCTTTCCCCCTTTGTAATGTGGCTGTACATCTACATGAATGCAGAGATGCGAACATCCTGGCCATCTCACTGTAAAACAGTTATTTAAGAAGGTGGAAATGAAGCAATCGGTGTTCTAGCGCCTATTTGCCCAGCTCTGATTTGTCAGCTGTGCCAAATCAACAGTGATCACAGCCATGGCTGAGATCGGTTTGTTCCTTTGAGAGTCCGATTTTAAATTGTCTGTTATGTTCTTGAATGCTGGAAACTGGAGCACAATTAGAGTGGAATTTTCTGGATCCTGGTCTAGATTTTCAAGGAAAGAATATATCTGCAATAAGGCCACATGGGTTAGGGCTGCATTAACTACAGGCCCTTGGTACCTGCAAGGGATTGGATCAAATGAAATAGGTGCTTCTGTGGGAGAAGCTGGAGTCTAGAGGTGATTTGAACTTACTGCTGAAACCAGTGGAGCTGAAGCTGCAGAACAGCCTTGAAGGGACAGCAGTGTTTGTATGTTTTACAGACTGTAATTAAAACTACTTGTAATAGAACAACTGGGTCTCTGAGCAATCTGTCTGGATTTGCTTATGAATTTTACTGTCACACACCCCACCTACTTCATTTGGACATATCTGCAGAGCACATTACAATATCCTGATGATTAGCTTGCAGTCCTGCAAAGATGTGACAGAAAGCAGAAGCTGTAGTGTGTCTCAAGTAAGGCTATATAGGTAAAGAGAGAGCATAATAACCCATCAATTTCTTTGCTAGAAGCTACTAGCAAAGTGAAATGCAAATACTATGATCTGTAATATTATGAGTCTTGCTTTTGGTCCAGCCTTCAAAGAGGGTATGATAACCAGAGTTGAATAAATATGCAATTATTCACATTTTAAACAAAAGATGCCCAGCCACTAATTTTTATTTTACGTTTGCAAATTTAAATGTATGCATTTCTAATTATAGAAATATTTATAAATTTTCAACTAAAAAAAATACATGGTATATTAAATAATTTACACACCAACATTCTAAAATCAGAAATATATATATATAGAACAAAGGCCCAACACTGAATCAAATGTAATTGATTACATTTCCACACCTCACTAAGCAGTGCAGACATTTAGTTTGCTTGACACTTCAAGTTGAACATGCCAATCCGTGGGCTGAAATGAGCTTCAGGCAAATAGTTACTCCAGCATAGGGCACAAAGCATTAAATAGTAATCAGACCTAATACAATCATCTGTGAAAAGTCTGATAACCTTTGTAATGCATCACTCGATCTAGAATCCTTCCTCTTCCTTCTAATACCATCCTGTCATGATAGACATGTATAGTTCCAAAAGCATGGCTTTCTGGAGGAGTTTCTATAATCCCATCAAGAGTAACATGGTGAACTCCGTAAGAGTCTAAACAGTATCCACCAAAATGAAGGTGGCCTGCAAGAAAGCACACCACAGAGTGATGCGAGTGGATGACAGAAAGGGCATCTTTATAATTCCAAGCCAGGGCGACATCGCTTGTAGAATTGGGGTGGATGGGTATGTGCCCTGCAGCGGAGGAAGAGAGGCAGTCAAAACAGATGAAATTTCACAGTTGTTAACACGGCTCTCCAAATGCTAAAGCTGCGGAGTTCTGCAGAATCTGGCAGCTTCTGTTGAAAATGGCTATATAGTATTCTCTGCAATGTTCACAATTAGACAGGCACCTGAAGTCATTTTTAAGCAAAATTGTTACGAACAGATGTTATGAGCCGAAGGTCCTTGATTCACATGGTAGACCAATCATGATGAGATCACTGAGTAGCAGGTAGAAAATTACAATTTCTTATGTTTGAGCACCAATCTAATATGGAAGTAATAAAACCGAGATACTTTATAATTAACCTGTGCCCCCCCCCAACGTGTTACTGGACTAAAAGGACCATTGGATGTGCTGTCTTTGGCAGATAGGGAATTGTGGTCCAACACCTTCTGGAAGTTCACAAGGTTAACTAGCTCTTCTTTACGGGGTAGTTGTAAAGGTACTAAAATAATACATGTGACACATTATGAATACTTAGGAAAGCGTTACTTGCACAAACTGAAACTGAATAAATTTAACTATAATAAATGTATCTAAAATAAAGCAATATATATATGTGTGTTCCTCACTTTGATGCACACACAAAGAGTACATTATACTTTGAATAATACTTATACTGTATCTCACCATTTAGACATCCTTGTAGAGATGTGGAACTGGGAGAAACAGGAGTAACTAGTCCACATTTTCCAACTATCCTGTATTTCTTTTTTGAGAAAACAGCTCAAACGTACTTCAGGGCTGAAAAGAATAAAATGGAAGCCAAACTGGAGGCCTGATTCTCTCTGTCATGGGTTTGCAAGGTGACATGAGCTTTGTTTTTCTTTTTCTTTTTTGGAAGATTTATATTCAGGTGTTCAACTGAGTGATTCTAAAAGCAGCTTAAAGCAAATGGTGAAACCCACACACAACCTAGCAGTGCTTGGTCCTCCGGTCAATTAGATGAGGCCACAATGCACTTCTCTTCAATGCCAGGGCAACAATCAGTTGGAACGGAGTATTCTCTCTGGCACAAAGAGGGAAGCAAACTCCCCACGGCTGCTGCTTCCCTAGTGGATAGAGCCAGTCTGGTGTATCCCTTCCTGTGATGTTCTTCCTGGTGTGCAACCTCCCACTGGCCCTTAATCTTCTGGTTGGCAGAGTATACTTTATGAAGAATGAAGTATTGTGATCAAAACCCACTACCCTAACTTTTAGCATGTGTCAGCTAAAGCAGTAGAATAAGATGAAGGAAACCCTCAGTCTTTTGCCTCTAGTTCTAATGACCGAGCAACCCTCTCGTAAGGCGCTTTTTTCTAAGGAGCGTTCTATTGCTTGTGTTCCAGGAACTCGAAAGGAACCTGATTTCCCTGTACTGTTTACCAACAGCCAGCACCATTCCTTTCATAACCTCTGATTTACACCCTCTCCTTAAGGGACGATGATTTGCAAGATCATAAATTGGACCTGACTGTGTACCAAGTTCAATTTGTTTTGCAGAGCACCGTGTGGCCAAGCACACACGATCCATTTTTAATTTGCATGCTGTAGCTATTCCTGTAGACCTCAACCTATCCTGAAAATGGATCTAGCCCACATAATGGCAGAATCAGACCACTGTGAGATGAACAGCATTCGCTCCAAAGGCAAATTTTGGGGGTGTGACTCAGGCTTGAGCAATGGCTTGTCGGAATTGTAAAAAGCAGAATTCCATGAGATATACTGTGATATTCTATTACAGTTGCTGTGCCTTAAAAAGTGAAAAACGAAAAAGTCTTACCCATAATTACAACTCTTTCTTGATTTTTGTCAGCATATGTAAGGACTTCATCAAGCCAATCCAGCTGTTCTTGACTGAATCCTCCATTGAACTGCACAAACTGACGTTCAACAAGACCTGTACAAAAAGAAAACCTAATAAAAAACCTCACCAAATAAGCCATTTATATTTTAGGTTACAAATGTGCATTTTAGAAAAATATGCATTTTCTCCCTACAGGGACTTTTAAGTTAACCTCATTCTTAAGAATAAACTAGCATTCAATGCAAACTTTATAGATCAGTAAAAATACTTTCTTTAAAGATAAACATAACAGGTATTCCTGTTCTTTAGCATGAAAAAAATGACCACACATGTAGTTGTTTCTACAAATTTTGCATCGCTATGAAAGGGTATGTGGCTGTGCTAACGTATTGCCAAGTCTTGATTTAAAGCTTTCCCACACATTCTAGGAAAGAAGAGATCCTATTTGTACACAACATGTCTCCATGATGACTTTTATGTATGGGGAAGGGCCATGGGGAACCTTTGCAGCTCATAGGCAAGTACTAGCCATGCATTTTCAGATATTCATCTCCGTTCCAGATATTACTACTGCTTACTGTAGTGACTTGCAGTGTACAAATTGCAAGTTATTTTTCCAGTAATGTTTAAGAAAGTCCTAACAATCACAAGGAAATCATAGCTCAACAGGCCAAAATATGAATGAGCCTCAAGGATGCCTACACACAGCACTCCACTCTTCCCTTTGCACAAGTGAGTCAACCAGCCAGGAAGTATTCAATTAAACGAGTTTGATGTTAGGTGTACACTAGAAAACTGTGGTTAATGGTTTCAAACCAAGCCATTGCATAAAGCCATGATTAAAGTTGGGTTCTTAACCTGGCTTTCCCCCAAGCTGTTAACCAAGCTTTCATGGTTGACAAAGAAGGGAAACGATAGTTAAGTAAAGACTTTGTGGCTTGCTTTCCAGTTTGCATAAAGGAAATAACAATGCAGCTGTATGCAGAGCCACGAGGCTCATATTGTGGCTTAGGAAGCTATGATTGTTTGTACTCAGCCTATTGCTCCCAACCAGGAAACAACCAACATTCTGTAAATCCCTTTAAATCATACATCCTCAATCCTGTAGTCAAAGCATTTGATTCCCCATTTCTGCAAATTAGAATGTTACCATCTCCTGCTTCCTCCAAAGTATGCTATATATATGTAAACATTTGAACATATTTGCATACATTCAAAATGTCATATTGAACATACCTGGCCTACATTCAGGTATTAAACAGTTACTCTGAGATAAGTTCTCTATCCTTTCAGGGGATTACATAAATGCCATTAATGTACAGCCCTGCCCACTGCCTAGCCTAATCTGGTAGAACTTTTTGTGTAGAAAAACTGCCACTCAAAACTGAATGTTCTTCTGTTGTAGTCCCCTTCCACACACTTTTTAAGTCAGAGAAATACATGCAGATGTGTTCATTTTTCTGAGTGGCAGGTCCCTCAGTGTAGCACAAGGCCAGGTGCTACCTCAATGTGAATCTGGAAACATACAAAAGCCCTGCTCAGCACAATACAGTACCTGATGGACTATTCAGATTCTCATTTTGATTTTTTTCTCGCAGTAGTTTTAGAGAATCTTGATATTTTTTGGTAGATGTGTCCCTCCCCAGAATACTTATATCATAAGCATCAAGGATGACAAATCGAAATTTAGACATCGGGCAAAATTGATATGCATAATAGAATTCTGAAGCATCGTCTCCAGTGGAACTCTGGTCTCTATAAGAATTGCTAAGAAAAGTCTGTTCTTGTAAGTACTTGGTGTTCAGTGCAGAATCTACTAGATAGTCTCTGCTGAAGTTGTAAAATTCATGGTTGCCCCATATATGATGGACTGGGGCCTTGAGCTTCTTAAATTCTTCCAAGACTCTTCCCAGTGCTGTCTCTGACATCTTAAGTTCAGCATTGCAGCCATCAATGATGTCCCCAAATTGTAATACGAACTGAACATCTGTTCTATTCCAGTCTTCGATTGCACTCTGGAGGTGACATAGGCTATGCTTATAATATCGCCTGTTCAGTCCGCAGAAATCATAGCCATCTTCTCGATCAGCATACTGAATATCTGCTATGACTCCAAAGGAGAAGAGTGCCTCAGAAGTTGTGGCTCCTTGTGTACAGCTACAATTATTATCGTCATCCATAACTGCCCATATGTCCTGCCAAAATGTAGCACAAAGAAAGAAAGAAAAGGATTTTGTTCAAATACTAAACTGGTAGTGAGGGGGAAGTGTGGGTGCCTATGAATGTGTTACTCAAATATAGCTTTTAGGCGGCATTAGCCGTCTTTTGGAGAAGCTAGACTTCTATAAAGCTGACAGAATAAAATGTAGCCATCCTGTACATATGTACTCGGATTAGGAGCAAGTTCTACTGAACTGCTGAGTAAACATGCAGAGGAATGGGCTGCACCGGATTTAGGGATGTCAGTGCTTTGAACCACTTACACTAAGAATTGAAGCCTATAGGATTTGGCAAGTTACCTGCCGGCTTATAAATCTGCAGAAAACCACCACCACAACCCACACATCTGTCTGCCTAGCCCTATAAACTCACTAGAGGAGGGAGGGGAAGTGTCTGGAGAACCCGCCCAACATCGTGACTATGGAAACGAGACACATACCCACACCACTCACCTCCCTTTAAAGAAGCAGACCGGGGAAACCAAGTCCTCTTCTGAGGCAAAGCAGTGAAAGAAAATTAATCTACTCTCTGAGCGTCATTTCATTTCCTGATCCATTTGCCCCTCCTCCTTGCTTGCTGCCTTCCCTCCGCCATAAAGAAATGGAAATATTTTTTACAAGATGTCCTTTTAAGGTAGGCTGTGAGTGGAACCAAGGAGGCAATTCTAGCGTCACAATCAAACTGTTTATAGAGACGAAACTTCCTGGTTATTTTTCAATACTCCCTCCCCTCCGTCTCAGTCACTCGAGGGTCGGAAGCAACTGAGAAATGGGAAGTTTGGGCGAAGCTGTGATCGGGTCGCAGAGATTTTGTGCAGTATTTTAAATGGGGTTTTTTTTTAACACTTAAACAACTTGTCCTTGCAGATGCCAATGCAAGTCTTATCCTCACATTGCGGCTGGGAAGGGCTGAGATGGTGGCTCAGGACGGCTGTGCATCGCAGCCCCGACTAAGAAGCAGATCAGGCTCTTCAAAAACGACTGGCCGTCTCTGGCTCGAGGGCTGGCGGAAGACACGAAAGGAAACCATTCTGCCCCCTGCGTAACTGAGGTGACATAACTGCACGACTCCCGCGACCCAAAACCCTCCTTCCTCCCGGTTTCAATGAAAGCCAACACCCAGCTTCCGGCGTGCTTCCGTCACTTCCTGTTCCGAAAAGCGTTTCTCCCTGACACTTCCGTCGAGCTAACTTTCCGAGAGACGAAATTCTAGAGCTGAATGCAGCACTGTCCCTATGAGCACTTCCGGGTCTACTTCCTCCCCCCCCCACACTCTTACAATCCCGAGCTAAACACACGTAGTGATGCCAAGGGATAAGGCGAGCGTGCTCTTTGTCCATGGATAATTTTTTTGAAAGGGCGACGGCGCATTCAGTTGCTGGCGAATGCCAGGTTTCCCCCGGAAATCCAGCATTTGTCACTACTCTTGCTCTTACCTAGTTCTATGGGCTGCAGGAGCGTGGCTGGACGGGGCGGGCGGGAAAGAGGATGGCGGCGGCGGCGGCGACCCGGCTTCGTCCTCTGGCGGTTTGGGGTCTCCGAGCCCCTCCGCCGCGCTGGCCTTCCCTTTGTTGTCGTGCTCAGCCCTTGGCTACAGGGCCGCCGGGGGATAAGCCGCGGGAAGGGCCCAGCAAGCCTGGGGTGAGCCAGTCCCGCTCCAGGGGGAGCCGCTGCTCCTGGGCGCATCCAGGGAAGAGCAGGGGCGCCTTCTTCCGGGGGAGCTGCGGGGCAGGGCGGGGAGGAGGCGCACGTGGAGCCCTTGAGGGAGACAGATGATTTTCGGTCTGCTTGATGGTGCCGCTTCTCTTGTCCGGCCGCTGCAGGGCTGCGAAGTAACGCCCAGATGCACCCCCTTTTGCATTTCCGCTTAAGTAGTGCAGGCGGAGCTACTTCTCGCCCCCCGCATGGAGGAGAAGCGAGAGCCCCTGCATCTCTTTTCCAAATCTTAAGTTGCTGCTTTTAGCTGCGCTGGGTTCAAGCGGTTGTCTGCCTGAGCCGGTTGCTATATAGGCAGTGGTTCTCAACCTCTTTTTTCATGCCTAGGCATCTCTAAAATCCTGATGCCCTCCCCCGTGACATATAATTCTTATTTTTCAAAAAGTGAACTCCTGTTCACGTGGAGGAAGCCTAAAAGGTCGCCCCTGACATTTAGGTCCAGTCACGGACGACTCTGGGGTTGCAGCGCTCATCTCCCTTTATTGGCCGAGGGAGCCGGCGTACAGCTTCCGGGTCATGTGGCCAGCATGACTAAGCCGCTTCTGGTGAACCAGAGCAGCGCACGGAAACGGTTCCCGCCAGAGCAGTACCTATTTATCTACTTGCACTTTGATGTGCTTTCGAACTGCTAGGTTGGCAGGAGCAGGGACCGAGCAACGGGAGCTCACCCCGTCGTGGAGATTCAAACCACCGGCCTTCTGATCGGCAAGTTCTGATAGGCTCTGTGGTTTAACCCACAGCACCACCCGTGTCCCAAAAGGTTATTGTTGATGTTGTTTAGTCGTGTCCGACTTTGTGACCCCATGGACCAGAGCACGCCAGGCACTCCTGTTTTCCACTGCCTCCCCTTAAAAATCAAATTCCCTCCCTGTGGGGCATGTGCCCCACGTTGGGAACCACAGCTATACAGTAAGCCTGCAATTTACGCTATGTTCTGGGGATCACGCCTAAAGCTGAAATCACTTATAGTCAAATGGTTCAGTGGTGGGTGGAATTGCCAAAGTTTCCCCCATCCCAGACACCCATCCCCTTTTTATTATATATTTATTTAGCCAAGCGTGTAAAACGGAATGTGCACAAGTGAATTGTGTGTAAGTTGCATGCTTACTGTACCGTATTTCGATTAGGGAAATGTTGAAGAGATGGAAGGTGCAAGAAGACTGAGCTTTTCCTTACCGAAACAAGGTAGTGACTTGGAAGTTGAATGAGGAAGTTGGCTTGGTAAGCAAGTCTTTTATTTACATGTGCACTTCTTTTTCCTCCTCTTTCCCAGTAGCCTGTAACTTGGAAGACTCTGGCAATTACTTGTGCTGTTGGAGGAAGTCTGCTAGCAGCAATGAAGTTCTTCAAGAAAAAGAAAGAAGAAAGTATGTAAAACTTAATCGTGTCTATTGTAGAGTCATTTTTCACCCTGCTGCACAGATGCAAAGGCTTTGCGTTCTTTCTTGGCTGTGTGAATATTTTGCGGATATAGCTCACTGAGTGTCTATCCTCACTGCCCTTACCTGTGCTTAAGGTCTAAACTATTACGTGAGAAAAGGTTTTTCATCCTAAGAGATTATCACTTCTCCTAGCTTTTACCCAGCAACTTTCTTACCCCTCTCTTGTTAAGATGAATCCCTTAATGCTGTAGTTGATGCAAAGGTAGGAGAACTACTACCACGAAAATATATGGTAAAAGATAAAAAAAGCAGTGGGTCCCAAATGCATCGTGGGTGTGAAAATATTGATACCTGCAGTAGATGTTTTCTGATAACTGTTTTCAGAGTCACTAGAATTGCTTAAAGAAGCACCTGAGTATTATGAAGTTTAGCTAGTGAACTTTTTAGTTGATATTTGCTTCTGACAAGGCGAAAAGTACTTCTAAGACAAAAGGGAGGGAGCGTGTTCCCAAAGCATGTTCCAAATCCCTTGGGTGAAGAGGCAACTAGAGAAGAGAAAAATGATTTTGAAATGATTGAAGGCTTTGCAGGTAGATTCTGAGAGAGGCTGAAAACTCCCAGTCTTACTGACTCTTTCAGATGTTGCTTACAGTTAGATTTCTTGTTGTCATTTTGAAACTTGCAATCAAGTACCTGACATTGCTTGCATTTATTTTGTAACACTTATTTCCCCTTGCCGCTTTTGGCTTTTTTCTTGTCATTTAACACACACACACACTCCACTTCAAGATGCTGGACTTTACCGATACAAATCTATAGTTAATGGAGCACCCTCATCTACAGTGAGCATGGTGATATCAAGAGTATTGGGTGGGAGTGGGGAACTCAAGCCAGATTCTAGTACTAAAGAACGATACAAACGTAGCTGTCATAAAGGAAGTGTGGGATGGGGGAAGAATATAGTTGCAGCTTTGCTGGGCAGTGCTATAGAATCTCTTAAGCTGGAGTGGTAGGCAGGTAACCTTCCACTGTGGTTTGATTTCAGAGGCGGAGAAGGAGCGGAAAAGGGCTCTTGGAAAGCCATTGCTGGGAGGCCATTTCTCACTCGTCGATCACCATGGACAACCCAAATCGGATCGTGACTTTCTGGGCCAGTGGGTGTTAATCTACTTTGGTTTTACACATTGCCCTGACATTTGCCCAGAAGAACTGGAAAAAATGGTTCTTGTCATCGATGAAATTGGTAAGCAAGCCATACTGAAGCCCAAACTCTCCCTGAAATAACTCTTCATAGAGAAGAATCTCATTCTCTTCTCTAGGTTAATAATGTTTTTAGCCTATGTTGCTCAGGCAGTGGCAGATTTATATAGGTCTGCAATGTTTGCACAGAATTACCCCCTCTCCCCCTAGTTATTAATATAATTGAGAAGATGCCTCTGAAATGTGACTACCAACAATAAATTGCTATTGTTGAAATCATATATTTTAGTCGGTTGCATTGCTTCCGCTCTTCATTTCCCCTACTCCTTATTTAAAGTCAGTGGTAAGTAGGTCCATTACAGCATGGGTGGCCAGCACAATGCCTGCGAATACCTTCATTGGTGGCCCTGAACAGGTGACATAGGTGGGGCTTTGTTCTCATAGAGCTTAGTCTGAAATAGACAGCGGGGAAAATAGGAGGGTAGGAGGGGAATGCAAGTATAGGGATGAAGTAATGTGATCAGAAGCTCTTACGTGTACTGAAAAGCTGGCTGCAGAAAAAATGGCTTTTGAAGAACAGGAAAGAGTTGGCACCAGGCCCAAGTTCTGGGAGGGGGTTCCACTTGCAGGGGGCAGCAAGGAAGAGAAGGCCAGTCACTTAAGGAAGCAGGAAATCTTTAATTAGCTGTAAGTGATAAAAGTTGGAGGAGCAGGGATCATGTAAGACAGATAATTACCAGCAGTTGTGTGGGTAAAGGGACCCCTGACCGTTAAGTCCAGTCGCGGACAACTCTGGAGTTGTGGCGCTCATCTCGCTTTATTGGCCGAGGGAGCCGGCGTACAGCTTCTGGGTCATGTGGCCAGCATGACTAAGCCACTTCTGGCAAACCAGAGCAGTGCACGGAAACGCCGTTTACCTTACCACCGGAGCAATACCTATTTATCTACTTGCACTTTGATGTGCTTTCAAACTGCTAGGTTGGCAAGAGCAGGGACCGAGCAATGGGAGCTCACCCCGTCGCGGGGATTCGAACCACCAACCTTCTGATCAGCAAGTGCTAGGCTCTGTGGTTTAACCCACAGCGCCACCCGAGTCCCACTAGTTGTGTAGGTGAAGCCTGTAAATAACTTAAGTAAATAAAGTAAAGTAAGTAAAGATGACTTTACGCTGGTAATGGAAGGGGGGATAAGAAGTAATAAAATATTTTGTGTAAATTGGTAGAATATGAAGTCACGTACTGTATGGAATGGAGCTCTGCCTTTTTGAGACCTGAAACTACCTGCCTTTGGTAAAAGGGAACTGCTGCCCCCTAGTGGCAGTATTTTCATTTCACTGTGTGTGGATAGCATCTCCTTGTGGCATATGAAAATTCCATTCATCTGCTGCAGAAATGGAATTTCATATTCATTTCTGGAGTTCTTGTCAAAGTGCTGGCATTCTCTAGTGCACCTGCTAGAATGTTTCTTTACTAATAGAATATACAGATTACAAATAGCTAACATGGAGCTTCTTGGATGCAACATATTTCTTTTGAAAGGAACTAGATTTATGGGTAATAGCTAAACTTCTTCAGGTAGAGCTACTTTTCCTACACAATATTCTTGAAATGACAATATTCCTTTTTAAATCACTTACACTTATTTCCCAGTCTTTTCCTGTTATTATGCAGTGATTCCATCTCCCTGGCTGCCATCTTGTGCCCTGGGACCTGCCCTGCTGGAGGGCAGGTAATAAATTTCATAATAAATAAAATGTACATTTTTAATTTTCCATTTTACCCATTAAAATTTCTGCAGAAAATAACCAGTGTTTAAACAGACTGTGAATAGATACAGACTGTAAATATTATATGCATAGGTTGTTTTAAATATATATATATAAGAATCTGAGTGCGCAAATATATATTCCTGTGCATTAGGCCTTCAAGCTGTGGCCTGTAATAGGGGTCCCTGAACAATGGTTTTCAGTCTTTTCAGGACCCTCATTTAACTTCAGCCTGAAAAACAGGGCCTGTTTTTAATTTCACCTTCTATTGATTTTTCATTGATTACACACATATATATCTCAATGTAATAAGCTCTCCATTTCCCTCTTTATTTTATGGGTTTTAAAAGACCGATAAAATCCAG